GTTGGTCAAGACATTTTAAAATTGGAATCCTGGCTTTGTCACTTCCTCTGTGAAGTCTGGTGAGTTACTTAATTTATGTTTCAATTTTCGTATCTGTAAGTAGGGTTAATAATACCCCACCATTAAATTGTTGGATTAAATGAGTCACATGATAGTTACCATTTTTTGTCTTCTAGCTCCAAATGTTCTGTCCTTAACCTCTGCCAAAATGGATCTGGGCCCTTGACATATGTGCCCACTGGCGCCGTGTGATGCTGTCTGCAGAGGGCACCAGGAGATACTGCCAAAGAGATCTTCTTCTCGGTTCTGGTGCCCACACTGCCCATTCTGCTCCACTGCACTCAGCCTATGGGTGTCCCTCACCCACAGTGCCCCGTGGCCAGTGGCACCACTCGATGGCCACCTTCCCCAGTACCTGCCCTAATGCTCTTCTAGCAGGGTGCCTCTTTTGAGCTTCCTCTCATAACAGTATTTCCCCAGCACCCTAGAGCGCAGATATCTGATGCAGAACCACAGCAACTTGCCTGAAATCACTGAGTCGTGGCCATACGTTTTCCAGCAAATCCCAGGGTAGGGGTGAGGGTTTCTTCCTGAGGGGCTCTATCTCAGTCCTAGGGTAACTGCTGTTCCTTCCATATTGCTCTATCTTCAGCAACCCCTTCACATTGTACTAGGCAACCCCTCACCATCCCAACCACATTACAGCTGCTAATTCTACAAATTTCTCCTGCTCAGGTTATTGTGTGGTTTCTCTTGATCAGACCCTGACTAATAGGAGTCAATATTAAGTCAGTCACTTACACACCATTACAATGGCTAGGCATTGTACTGTTAGATGTCTTTTAGTATCCAGGCCTTGGTTTGCTTGTTAGTCAAACTGGGAAGATATCTGCCTAAATGCACATCGTTTGTTGTGTATTAATTGCCCAAATGAGCCCATGGTAATCATGCAGTGTGGACATAACTGGTGGACTTGAACTTGGCTCTGCTATGCAATATTTGATCTTGACAGTCTAATCATGTCTATAGTTAATTTATACCTACACAAAATAACATTTGTAAACACCTCAAGTAAACCAATGTCAGCCACCTTTACTGCAAAGAAAGCACTACGGGTTATAATTTGTCACTATAGTATCATATATGAGCTAATGTTATTTAAACAAACGGTTCCCCAACCTGGCCATACATCAGAGACATATGGCATTCAGACTTCACCCCAGCCACAAGAAACAGAATCTCCAAAAAGTAGCAGATGCCCATTTTAAAGAAGCTCTGGAGAGGAAACCTTAAGAAAACTAAGAGCGTCCCCCTCCCTTTGGTTGGTGCTGAAGTTTGTGCGGGCCCTGGTCTGTGACGGTCTTCAGGAGTTGGAAGGACGGTAACACTTGACCCCGGCATAGCCAGTGGGGTTCAGGAGGGCCAGGATCTGAGGCTTCAAAGCCAGCAAAAGGAGATTAGAGCATGCAAAGGTTGAACAATTAGGTAAATATAGTGAGGAAAATCAGAGCCATGGTGCTATTAGGGAAGGGAGCAATAAATCCAGGAGAGGCTACAATGGAACCCAGAGTGTGGGCTTGGAATCAGATGTTTTGGTGTGACATGGCTTTAAACAATTTGTAGGTCATATATATGCATGCACACACAGACACTTTCCTAGTTCTGTCTGCTGACAGGGTCTAGAGGAAATGATAAAAAGCAGTGAGCACACCTAATACCAGACCTTGATACCTCATCACCATGCTCCACCAAAGGCAGCCAGGGCTTCAGAGTGACTCCAGCTCTCGAGGATCTCGTGTACCAGCAAGTAAGGTGGTCTGGACGTGTGGAAGGACATCAGAACCAACTGGAAGCAGCTCCCATCAGGCAATTCTGGGACAGTTTGGCAATAAATACTGACAGTGACATATAACTTCCTGAATAAAATTGGAATCCTTGAGTTCCTGTGATATAAATAAGTGAATAAAGAAAACCGGAGAGGGAAGAGCATTTAATTTAGAATGCACACTAATAATGGAATAATAAAATAGAAAATTGCCATTTTGCAACTATCATAGTTACAAACTGGCTCAGGGAAAAATTACCAAGAGATGCTGAAGCAGTTAAGTTAAAACGAACAGGCAGATATACATATGGTCTTGAAGTATCTCCCTGAAAAATACTTTTTAACTTTTCAGTGGAGAAACAGCAAGCAGGCAATCAAGTAAAGCTTAACTTCAGTAGAAAGGAGAAAAATCCCCATCACAAGCCTCCCAACATGTTCCAGTGAAAGAAATGGAGCACCACCTCTGAAGTACTCCCGTCAGAAATGTGGAAATCATGAGGACACATTGGACAAAACAGAAGAACATTCTACAAATAGACCTGTATTCCCCAAAATGTCAGTCACAAGACAGATTTCGAACTATTCCAGACTGAAATCAAAAGACAACTACGCATGACACGTCACCGACCTGTAAATGTCACTACTCAGCCACAGGTAGAAAGAGGTCTGAGAGTTGGATGGCTACAGTGTCATTGGATGGAGTCATTGCTAATACTTGTGTTGCCATTATGCAAGAGGTGCCTTTGTTTTTAGGAAAGACACCTTAAGTCTTAAGAGTAATGGGACATGTCTGCAACCTACTCCAAATGGTTCAGAAGAAAATTACATACACACACACACAAGAATTTAGGTGAAGTGTAAATAGGAGTTCTTTTTATTAGGTTCTGAGTTTGAAAGTACTTTAAAAGAGACTTAGGAGACCAACCAACCAAATGCATTGTGTTTTCTTTGTTCTAATTATTAACAATTAAAAACAAATTCAGATAAACAAGCAAAGGTGAACATTACCTACCTATTTGTGTTTTTTAATCTTTAGTTCTTCCCTATTTCCCCCACTCCCAGCAACCACTTTGCTCCTGTTTCTATGAATTTAACATTTGTAGATTTCACATATAAATGATACTATGTACTTGTCCATCTTTGACTTCCCTCACTTAGCACACTCTCAAGGTCCATCCATGTCTTCATGAATGAGTTTCCTCTTGTATAGCTGAATATTCCATTGCGTATGTGTGTGCATCACATTTTCTTCATCCCATTCATCTATCAATGGATGTTTACATTATTTCCGTATCTTGACTCTTATGAATGTTGTTGTAATGAACATGGGGTACAGATATCTCTTGGATATAATGGTTTCATTTTCTTTGGACATTTATCCAGAAGTGGAATTGCTGGATCATATGGTAGTTCTGTCTTTATAATTTTTTTGAGAAGCCTCCATCCTGTTTTCTGTAGCAGCTGCACCAGTTTACATTCCCACCAAGGGTGCACAAGTGTTCCCTTCTCTCCACATCCTCACCAACACTTTCTCTTGTCTTTAATACCAGCCATTCTACAGCTGTGAGGGCATTTGTGGCTTTGATTTGCATTTCCCTGATGAGTAGTGATGCTGGACATTTTTTCATGTGTCTGTTGGCTCATCTGCATTTCTTTTCTGGAAAAATGCGTATTCAGGCCCTCTGCCCATTTATTAATTTGGTCAAATTTTGCTATTCAGCTGTAGGAGTTTCTTGTGTATTTTGGATATTAACCCCTTACCACATGTGTAGTTTGCAAGTATTTTCTCCCATCCCACAGGTGGCCTTTTCCTTTTACTGCTGGTTTCCTCTGCTGGGCAGCAGTTCAATTTGGCATAGTCCTACTTATTTTTGCTTTTGATACTTTTATTTCAGTGTCAAATCCAAAAACATAATTGCCAAGACCCATATCAAGGAGCTTACTTGCTGTTTTCTTAGTGTTCAAGTTCCAGGTCTTCCATTCAAGTCTCATTTGAGATGATGACCTTTGTATGTGATGTGAGGCAGGGATTGTGTCATTCCGCATTACCCAGTTGCCCCAGTGCTACTTATTGAAAAGACTAGCCTTTACCCATTGTGTATTCTTGGTTTCTGTCACAAACTGACCAAACATTTATGGGTTTATTCTTAGACTCTCAATTCTGTCCTTTGATCTGTTTCTGTTCCTATGCCAATACCATACTGCTTTGATTACCATAGCTTTGTTATATAGATTGAAATCAGGAAGTGTGATGGCTCCAGTTTTGTTCTTTCTCAAGATTGCTTTGGCTATTTGGGGTCTTTTGTGGTTTCATGCAAATTTTAGGTTTTTGTTTCTGGGAAAAGTTCCATTGGGATTTTTATAGGTATTACATTCAATCTGCAAGTCATTTTGGGTAATATGGACATTTTAACTTTATTCTTATCCATGAATATTGATTATCTATGTCTTAGATTTCATATACCTATGTCTTGAGGTTTTCAGTGTATAGAACTTCCATATAAGCTATTTGATATTAAGGAATTATTGCTGTTTTTTGTGTGAAGTTACTAAGGTTATTTTTTAAAAAGAAAATGGCTCCTTATCTTTTGAGATGTCCACCTAGTTGAAATGCTGTTGGATTACATCAAAGTAATACAAAGAGGTGGAGTAGAGAAGAAAGCAGAGGTGATAAAATAAGAATGTGTTAATAACTATTAAAAGCTAGGTGACAGGGACATAAAGGTTCACTGCACCACAGCATTTCTTTAAATTGTGAAACTGTGTTGGGAAGCTGTTTCGCTGGCCCTCAGAACCCAGCAAGCACACAGCGAGAAGTCACCAAAGGATTAACTGAAATGTGCGTGCGTCTCCTGCCTGATAACATCACGTACAGGTCCTCTGCCCCGGGAGCCCATTCCACACTGCAGATTTTCTCAAATTGCTAAGAGAACCTTTTTCCGCCCCAATCCTGTCTCACTGTGGCTGTGGCACTAACCCTGCCCTCTAGAAGAGAAGAGGCAAGCCCACAGGAAAGCCCTAGAAGGGCTTTCACACCAAACCACTCAACTCCAGAGCAGCCTTCATATTAGAATTCCTTCCCCAGCTAAGAATGCTTTAATTCCAACATTTCCCTTTACCCAAAAATAAGTTTGTTCTGCTTCATGAAGAGTAAAACAAGAGTCATATGCACATATATTATCCATGAAAATTCTTTATTTAAGCGCTCCAAGGATCCTTAAACCCTGCTTAAAAGATTAAAACTCCAAAGTACTCCACTCAATAAAAGCATGTAAAACCCTCATAATTAGGACAATTCATGACACAGCTCTTACTCTGTGAAAATTTATTTTACCCTTTATTACAAAGGCACCACAGATGTCATCTGAGACCTCAGATATTAACCCCACTGCATGGTAACGTCACACTGCTGATGTGCAACTTTAAATAGTTATTAAAGCTGATAGTAGTTTTCCATTGATTCAAAAGAAGGTATGTTCTCTCTGTAAATAATTAAAAGAAATACTGGACCTTAAGGGCAATAAAGGCCTAACAAAGTGGACCTGGAAATTTCTGTTAGGGGTAGTTACGTTACTTGATAGAAGCAAGACTTCCATAGTGGAAGCCTAGTACCTGGCCCAGACCCAGCTTTGCCAAAGAAACAAAATAAAAGGAGTGACTTCTAAAAAGCTAAAAAAATACTCTCGCAAGCCCCATAGGAAAGCAGTGCCAAGCTCATTCAGACCACTCCTCTCATTCCTCAGTTTCTAAAAATACATCCCTTTGAGGTCAGAAGTCCTGGATTTGGTTCAGACATGAGAGTGAGGTGTCGCAGGGTCCTCGTGGGGCAGGTCCGGGCCCGCCGCCTGCCCCGCCGTCCCCTCCCCCGCCCCCTCCGGCAGCCCTGGGTGGGCTGCGCTCTTCACTGTCCCAGCAGCACCTTCCTTCTTCTCTTCTGCCAGCCCCTCTAGCCCCATCATCCTGAGATAGTGCAGCCGTTCGTTCTTGGGCACAAAAGTTCGAATTGAGGCCTTTCCCCGCCATCCACACAGCACAATGGGGCACTGGAGGGTGTCTGCCTTCCTACAAACCAAATGGCTTCAGGTAAGTATTAAGCATCCTCGTGATTGCAGCAAAAGAGGTACTAACATGCAACCTCCCCAAAAGAAACCATCCCAAGCCCTGGGAGGCATTTTAGGCTGTGATCCTATGGAGGGTCTTCTCAAAGAATGTCAGCTTCTTTCCTTAGGTCCTGGCTATTTTTAACACAGGGAGCCTTCAGAAAGCTCCCAGTGGAATAACCCCCAAATCTGCAGACTTCATGAGCTTTCATGTTAGACTTCCCAAATACTTCCACCTTCTCACACATGAAGACCTCCCTGCAATGCCCCACATCACTGCCCCCAGGCATCTCTGCCCCATTACCTGCACCCCTTTTTAACACTTGGCCAGCAGCAATGGCAGCAGGCTGGGGCTGACACCCATTCTCTCACTGATAACTCTCTAATCTGTTCCCACGCTTTCACTCATTTACTTCAACTTGTAGGGCCCAGTGTTTGTATGGGGAAAAGCACAAATACTGCTGTTTGTAAAACCCACCTCTGGGTCTTCGGTGGTTCTGTGCACTTGCACTCCTGTCTCATACAACAGCGGCCCTTTGTCTCAGCCATCTGCGCTCCTGGTAGCAGGCCATGGCGCCCCCACAAGCCTCCTGTATACCCAACCCAACCCCTCATCCCCGAATGCCCCATTCTCGGCTTCTCACAGCCAGTGTCAAAGCATGGTCCCCGCCAGCTCTCCACGGAGCCCCAAGAGCCACGCTGTCCGCCCGTCAGCCACTCCCCTGCAGCGTCCTCTCCTCTGTCCACTTCACTGCTCCCATTTTTACTGACCTCTCCTCTAAAGCCAGCACATCCCGGGCAAGATCCTGCCCCCTCTACTCTTTTACCCACATCACCTGTTATCTCGCTGAGCCCACGGTTTTAAATAGGCTCGTGAATCCCAGAGGTCTGTACCTGAAACTGCCTTCCCCCTAAATCCCTGAATCTCAAATTCAGCATTTCACATTTGGTCTGCTGGTTGGTTCTTCCCTCTCATTTCCCATTTTAGGTGACAACTGCCCAACTCACAAACCCAGAAACCATCACAGTGTCCTTCACCACCCACAATCCATCCTGTCTGCTCTACCTCCGAAAGGTGTCCTTACAGGCCCCCGGGCCTGCCCGCCCGGGTCCGCCCGCCTCCCACCTCCCTGCTGTCCTGCTCTTGCCCACAGGGCTGTTGGCGACCTGCTCTCCCCCCGAGTTCCACCCAGAGGGCCTCCAGCTCAGTCATCCTACAGGAACCACTTCTCCGCCTCCCTCCCCCCATTCAGTCAGGTCAAACACCACCTTCCCGGAGAACTGCCCAGGGCCCTCCAAAGCTCTCCCCAAGCCCCTCTCCAGCCCCCTACCATGTCAGTTCTCCTTTTGGAAACAGTGTTTCATTTACAAAGAGGTAGTCAGCCCACGAGACACCAGTCTCCTGGGTCCATGAGGCCCCAGCTGAGGGGCTCTGAGCAAACACCTGAGTAATAACTCCGTTTCTGGCAAATGTGGATCACTGGGCCCCTGAGGACTCCGGTGAGAGGCCGGGCACATGCGCAGGCAGTGTGGGCAGCCGTGCCGGCGTGGCCAGGCCTGGACTCCAGCATGTCCCCTGCCCCGTCCTGCACCACCGCCGCCTGGCACGTGACAGGACATCCGCGAACACTGCTGAACCCTCAGGGGAGGCGGGAGAACTCAACCTCTCTCAGCTACTCACCTGGGGCTTTATTCTGCTTAAGACAGAAATCAGAACTGGACTTCTAAGGCATGGAAAGTAAGTATCATGCATTTTACATTATCTAAGTAAAAAAACATATTTGGCCTGAACTGAACGTTTTATAAAAAAGTACCTTTGTGATGCTAATGAGAATGGCATTTTAGTTCTAAGATTTTCTTGACACTATTTTGGAGGGAACATTTATAAAAGGCTTCTAAGACCACCGAAGCCCCCCACCCCCCACTGCTGAGAACATGGCAGGAGGACTCACTCACATGGGGTCTGGCTCGTACTTCAGGACGATGCTCCCCTTGGCTGGAAGAGAAACAGACACGTGTCGGCCAAGCTTTCAGCCAGTGGGGCCTTGCTGAGCATGTCTGTGTGCCCGGCTTTGGGGAAGGAGAACAAAGAATCTACACTCTCGGTCTCCAGGATCTAGACAGAGAAAAGAGGACTTCCTTTCTAAATTCTCTGTATTTCTCAAAATATGAAGCCGCCAGCCGGCCAAGCACCACCCAGGGCGGCCAAGATGACTTGGGAGGCACCGAGTCAGCCTGCAGGCCTGTCTCAGAAGCAGGACTGTGGGGATTAGCTACTGGCTAATTCTCAAAAGTCAAGGTTAAATAATTGCTCCAACTCCCAAGCACTGCACGGAACACAGAATCTGTCATAAATTATACTGCAATCAGCTAAATGAAGGAGTAAAAGAAAAAAGAAAGCAAGCGGCTCCCCCAGCCTTCAGAAGGCCTCGTTCAGTGCAGGGGCTGCCTGAGGGGACCCCAGGAGACCCACCCCACGGCGTGTCTGCTCCTTGGGCCTGCAGTCCCATGCGCAAGGGAGACACTGTGCTCACAAAACCGCAGTCACTCATCTGCCCATTCTCATCGAACTGAGCCAGAAACATTCAACAGCAAGTCATAAAAAAAAAAAATAAACAAAATTTCCCTCATTTGTGGAGTATAACAACGAAGCAAAACTGAAGAAACAAAACAACAGCAGACTCACAGACCCCAAGAAGGACTAGCGGGTTACCAAAAGGGAGGGGTGAGGAAGGGTGGGTGGGGAGGGAGGGAGAAGATTAAGGGGCATTACGATTAGCACACATAATGTAGTTGGGGGGAGGCACAGGGAAGGCAGTATAGCACAGAGAAGACAAGTAGTGACTCTATAGCATCTTACTACACTGATGGACAGTGACTGCAATGGGGTATGGGGGGGACTTGATAATACAGGTGAATATAGTAAGCACAATGTTGCTCATGTAAAACCTTTGTAAGATTGTATATCAATGATACTTCAATAAAAATAAATAAATAAATAAGCAAGCATGCATGAATGGAATGAAAGACAAAACTATAATGCACACTGGCACTATTTTTATTCTTAGGTAAAAATGTCACCAGAATGACTGAAGTGGAAGTTTGTGAATATAAAAATAGCACTGTGATCCATGATCTATTCTGGCTGGCTGGCAAAGCAGGGGGAGCTGATGGCAAGACTCTATTCCACTTTACTGGGGCTGACTACAGTGCTCAGAAATGACAGCCTGTGCTGGTTATCTCCAGCATCTCGAACACACACAAACCCTGGCAACCAGGACCTGCCCTTTGTTTCCTTGTGGGCCCCTCCCTAGCTGCCTGCTGGGAGGCCTGGCACTCCAGCTGGTGGGCTGGCCAGGCCCCAACCCCTACCCAGATGAACGTGGGCCTCCACAAGGGCCTGGGGAAGTAGAGTAACCCCAGGGGTGTTTCCTCAAAGCCCTCTGGAAACTGACAGTCCATAAAAAGAAAGGCATAATGTACTGAAATACAAAACTGAAGAAGCTCCAAAAAGCAGAGTACCTGTGTTTTTATGGCCTTTATAAGGACAAGTTATGCCTCTATGCAAAACAAACTGCTTACCCATGTCCTTGGCTTGGCTGTACGCCTCACTGCTAAGTTTTCTAAAAAATGGATTTTCCTGGGTTAGTAGAATTTTAACATCTTCCATTGACACAGTGATAATTCTTGAATTAATAAATGGATACAATGTGTATATTCCCTGTGGAATAAAGAGAAGCCACCCTTATGAATGGTTACAGTGAGCACCCATTTCAGGGCCTTCCAGCGTGCTGTCTGGCCCTCACCCCCCCACAGCCCCTGGGCAGGAGCCACACCCAGGCCACAGTGTGGGGCTCAAATGGCTGGAGGCGCCAGTCCAGCTCGAAGCACCCAGACCCATAGGGCTGGCTCGGAAATAGGCTCAAACCCACTTGTGCAGAGTGCTTCATGGTCACTTGTGGCCAGCGCCGTCCAGGCTACTCCCACCTTACCTCCTGTGCTAGCCGGAACGCACAGTCAAACTCTTCTCCGCTGTTATTTCGACACCAGACTTTTATCCCAGTGTTAATAACCTGTGAGTGAAAAGCAAGATGAAGCACACACATAGGTCAATCAAGCTAAGCAATTTAAATCAGCCCTCCCCCAACAAGGAGGCAGGGCTGTAGGCAACTCCAACACAGGGCAGACAAAATAAATAACCTGGGGAGTCACAGGACTAACTCCAGTGGGAGGTTCTCAGGCCTGACCGCCACTCTCAGATGGCTCTGGACTATGTGACTTCCATTGACAATTACCACAGCAGAGACTAACCCAGGGCCACACACAGTCCCTGGACCGTCAGGGGCAAGGATGCTGTCACCTGGGAAAACCCACGTGGACACCCAGGAGAGGAGAGTAGGAAAGGCAAAAATAAGGTCTTAGTATTGTTACAAAAATGCTTCGGACCTCAGGGGCCTCAGCCCACATCTGGAGATCTTTGCACTGAACAAATGGGAAACAGTTCAGGATATCAATACAGCAAATGAAAACAGGACTGAAGAGTAGAGAAATTCTGAGGAAAATGGAAAGGACAAATAACTCCAAGGACCTGCCTGAGCAGCATGGGATCCCCACCCTGGGCGGCCCCCATGATACGAACAGCAGCGAGGCTGTGGAGCCGGAACGCTGTGGCCAAACACGAGGGACAGAGAGGCTGGCGGCCGCGCCTGCCCCATAGCTGAAACCATGCGGGCACATGCTCCTGCAAAGCACCCCCAGGCAGGAGGACACACGCCTGTCACCGCCATGCAGTGCACCTTCATCCTCTCACTGTTGTTCAGGAGCACGTTTCTCAGCTCCTTTGAGACCATGTACAGCTGCCTTTTCTTCCCTTCCGTAGTTCGAGTTAACAAATTCATCTTTGGGAATGAAGGATCCAAAGCATAAAATTTCCTATGAATGAGACAGAAGGTTTACAGGAGTTTAGTTCAAAATTTGACAGATGGTCTCTAAACAACTTCTCTCTCCCCACAACAGATTTTGGTTTCTAAGACTGTGGTGTGAGGGAACCCCCATCCTCTACACTTACCCTGCCTCACCCGAAACTGCCTGGCCATTTTATTTGAGGCACAACTAGATCCGAGACCTACGCTACCAGCAGCAACTTCTCTCCCTCAACTGCTCCTCCACCCCAATGACCAGACCTGAGAATGCCTGCACTGCTCAGACATGTGCAGGATTCTACCAATGTGTGCAAAGGACTGTTATCCACAAGGCAACCTAAGCAGCCACTCTGCTCCATGTACAGGAAGACGTAATGGGTAACAGACACACCCCAACTGTTGCCCTGAGCCCCTTGCCTCTCTGTTCTATCTGGAAATTCCCAATTAGGGCTCCCACCTCCCACCCAGATCCACTAGTCTTCATTTCCTAAACAGGAAGCCCCCACAGGCAGCTTTGGCCACTGATTTCAAAACTCAGCTGAGTAACTTACATTTGGACTCACAATCCAGAGTTTCTCCATCTCTCTAAATTCTCTCCCATTGGGCAAATTCATTTCTCTGATCACTGTCCACCTCAAACTGAACAGCGAGCACACACCCTCTAGAGTTCTAACCAGCTCTAACACGCAGCTAAAGAGGGAAGCAAGATGCTACCCAGAGCTGAATAATAACCTACGGTTAAGTGTGACCAGGTATGTGTCTGTAACTCCACAGGATATTTCTTTAAGAATTAGAAAAGGGTGAATTAATCCTTACTGGATAGGTGGAAATAACGGGTCATCTTCAGGAATAAACACAAAAGGATCTTCTTTAAATCCAAATAACTTCATCTTCTTAGAAGGAGGAGGACTAAGGAGGGAACCAGCTGAGTGATTAACCTGTAATCCGAGTAATAATGCTAAACACTGAAAGCACACTCTTCCCCTTGCACCCCACCCTCGTCCCCAGGTCTGTGCAACATGGAGCTTCCTACACAAGGCTCCACAGGAAGCGGGTGTTCAAGCTCTCCATGCACAGACCCTGCCAGGTCACAAGTGCTGAACTGCGCTGGCCAGCCCAGGTCTTGCCCTGCCCACTATAAGGCCACTGCCGAGTGGCTGCGGGAGTCCGCACACCTGAGAGGCGGGCAGACCCTAGAATGTTAGGGGCAGGACGTCCCCCTTCCTCTTACCCACATACGCCATCTTTCTTGTTTCCGTTATTCTCTTGATTTTCAGTTCTTTCAAGTACTTCTGTATCACTTACTCCAGGGACTGGGTTACTTTCCAGCTCGGAGCAGTTGGCAGCTGTCCCTCCCGGGGGGGCTGCAGCAGGGCTGGGCTGCACAGGCCCCCTCGGCTCCGCAGACAGCCCCTGCAGCTGCAAGGGGAAGCAAGTTCGTCGGCACTCAGACAGCAACCTTCAACAATATCCAGCTCACAAAATCATTCTTCACTGTTTTCCTACATCGTTTTAAGTATAAAAGATCCAATTTTTTTAAAGTATCTTAAATCTATCTGTTATAATTCATGGGCACCATTTAAGGTTAAAACTGATTCTACCTGAATCCTACAGAAAGTACGTGCAGACTGTTCCCCATCTTCAGTCAAAAATGCCCCTGTGCATCTGCTCTGTGAGGCGCAATGAGGGACACAAATGAGTCACACACTGGCCGTCAAACAGGAGGCAGGTCTGAAAAAACAAGGCCTTAAGTAACTAGCCCACGAGGGCAGGGAAAACCTGTGGGGCACCTGGGCAAACTGCCATGAGGTCCGAAGAAGGGGGTACCTCCGGGGACTAGGGGGACAGCTGCCGCGTACCAGATCAACTTCTACACTGGGGCAAAAGCTTCGATCTGTCTTTGAGAACAAGCAAAACACTTTAGTTAAAGTTCTCTTTACATTATTCTTTCTACAAAGTCTTACACAACAAATAATGCCACCTGTCCCTTCTAACAAGTCACAAGATGGGTACAAGCAGTGACTCTCAGTCCCCATGAAGTAGGGCACTTGAGCACAGGAAGCCAACCTGTTCCCCATACTCACAAAGTTTTCAGTGCACCAGCCGCTGAGTCTGAAGCTATGAAGGCTGTGCAAGCAATATGGCTTCCCAGAAAATACACCTTACTTAAACAGAAAAAAAGAACGAAAGCACTACCTAAATCCCCCTCCATTTCTAGCCCCACAACCACTTCTGCAACAGCTGCCTGCCTGTTCAGAGCCCATCTCAAGGAAGCTGCTCCAGCTCTGTCTCCATGATCTAAGCTTGCTTCCTGAAAAACGCCCACAGCGCTTTCTCAGAACAGCTCTCCCTGGCTTGAATTCGAGCTCCATGTTTATAGGCCTTATCACTTTAACTAGATGATGGCACCCTGAAGAGTAGGAGCCTATCTCGGTTATTGGTGCGGCCTGGTGCACCAAGCTGTGCTGGCTCAAAGACCAGGAGACCAAAACACATTTACTCGATGAAATGAATCAGGAACTGACATAACAGAAAAGGAGAGAAGTACTAATTGTTAAGTGAGCAAATGACACCAAGTTGTTCTAAAAAGACACCCTATCAGAGAGGCAGACTAATGGAAAAGTTCAAAACCCACTTACCAACATACAGTCATATAACAAAGACATCAGTACAGCCCCAAATGCAAGGAAACCTGATGTGCACCTGTGAGACGCTCTAACCTGTGCTCTGCAGCAGCCACCAGCCCAGCACAGGCGCCCGACACATGCAAGGCAGATGCATCCCAGGGTGTGACACTCACACTACTTCAAAAACTCAGTATGGAAGCATACAAAACATCTCATGAATAACTGACCTTATTACATGAAAATAACACTTGAAGTACATTGGGATAAATAAAACCTTAAAATGATTAGCACCTGGGGTTTTTTTGTTTACTTTTTTAAATGTAGCTGCAGAAAGCTAAGCAGTCCGTGAAGACTCCACTGGTTAGCACCGCTCTGAGCTCCACAGCTCTACTCCTGACCAGGGAAAAGGGACACCATGACGTAAAGAATGCCATGAAGACACTTCAGGCTCCATGTGGAACAAGCTCTTACACAAACACGTGCAGGTGTGTGTTTGAGCTGCACATTCACATGTTAATACAGCTGCCGCATCTCAAGAACTGCTTTCTTGTTTCTCCAAAGTCTAAGCATTACATGTCCTGACTTTCAAGCATGGCTATGAAAGAAGTACAAACTGGAGACCGATTGGAAGCCATGCTCTAAGACTAAGGGAGGCTGACATACGAAGTCACACCTGGTACCTGCGGACAGCACACGCTACACAGCAACACCACGTCCAGGCTCAGAAGGCTGCTCTTCTGCAGCCTCTGTGCTCCACCTTCTCCCTTACTATGACCGGGAGACGGCTGAGACGCATCACCACAGGACAGGCCCTATTTCCTTTTCAGCCAGGCCTGGACAGAGTCCGTCATTATCCCTCATGGCCAAGGTGAAGATGGGCTGACGTGAGGTTAGCAGAGCTCTGTCCATCTGCAATGGCCTGAACTGAACCACCCCAGGGAATCACAGCACAAAAGCTAGCCTGGGGCTCTGATTCTATGCCACAGAAAAGTCTTTATGGCTTTTCACTTTCTACCAAAGAACTGGACTTAAGATGTAGAAGGAATGCATTCTCCAAACCGCCGTTTCCACTCACATATACTTTTAAGAAATTGCTTCTTTTTGGAAAACTCAAATATTTAAGGAAATCCACAAACACACACTCAGGCTCAACCCTTCTCCACCCCCAAAAACCATCCCACTGACCCCTGTCAGCTTCTGCCTTAACTGCAGTAAAGATCACATAGTAACCCACACTACTTGTAGACATTTACCTTTGGTGGACGTTTATTCCATGGCATTGAGGACTTTTTCACTAACACTGCCACAAAGAAACCTCCAGTATTCTGATGATGTGGTAATATTCTAAGACTAACAACAAAACAAAAGAAAAAACACAATTCACACTTTATAACTGATCCAAAATACATTCTTTTAGTATTAAGACAAACATCATAAAGATGATCTATGACAGAAAAATCAAGTCTTGTTGTAAATATCCACACAAACCTCACTTGTAGAATAGCCAACATGTGGGAACAGTTAACATAGGATCCAAAGTATTAGCACAGAGGTTCTAACCATGTTCATTATTTACAGATACTCCATCCACACCAACAGCTAAGGGACACCAAGAACTCATTTGCTGTAATGGCCACATATGAAAGCCAGCCTCCCCAGTGTCCCAAAATGCTGAGCCCCACAAACCCACCAGCGCTCCAGGTGCATGGCCTCTAACTCTCCCAGGTCCTTTGGTGGGAACATGGTGGGCCGGATCTGCGCATGTCTGCTGTGTGGAACATCATCCCACTCTGCAAACCACTGCCCATCTTTCGTCATGACCTACAAAACAAGGGGGATTCTGAATCACCAGCACTACCCAGCAAGAACTACAGGCTGCTAGTATAAATGCTATCTAACCCGATAAATGGCAACTCCCATTTCCCTCCAAAGTCAGGAAGACTATTTGCAAAGATAAAAATGAAATCATCTTCTATTCCATAAAATAGGACAATCATTTTATAAAAGAGCATTTTTTTGTGTGGGTGTTTTTTTTTTTAAACAAGTCTAGATATTTCTGGTTTAAAACTGAAAAATAAATTGTTTCATATTGGAAACAAAGCTTGAATCCCAGCCAATAAAAGAAAGAAAGCAAAGCTATACCAATGGGGTCCAAAATAAACAAAGCTGATTTCTAATTGCGTGAAAACCAGGAAAACTTTTCCATTGCCAGAGAAAAACATCTGTATGATAACACTACTTGTCAATAATTTTGAAATTAATTCTACACTGCAGAACCAAGCTTAGTATTTACTTGTTACCCAAACATAGATGCTTTAAAACGTTCATGACTATGACAAGCCTGGGAGTCACACCGACCCTTCAGAGCCAGCGTCCTCACAGCAGGATTACCTTCCAGTGCGAGATCCCTGGCATCCATTTTAACCCCGGCAGCTCAGAAGACACGTCAGCCAGCTCCAGAGCACCTGTGCACCGACACACAACAAACTTTTTTTTCACATTATGCCCAGGGAAAGACACTGGGGGCAGAACATCGCATACCTCATGGTTCTATTTATAGGAAGCGTCCGGGCAGGGCAAATCCACACAGAAAGCAGGTGAGTGGTTCCCGGGGCGGCAGTGGAAGGATGGGTGGAGCAAACGGGCAGGAGCACTTGTCTGGGGTGGCAGGAATGGTCTAAGACTGGACTGTAGTCAGGATTGCACAGCCATTTAGTGCATTTACTAAAGCTCACCGAGCTGTACACTCAAGACGGGTGAATGGTACACCATGTAAACTGCAGCACAATAAAGCTGGTGAAATAAGGAGAACTGGAGAGTCCACAATGCGTCTAAGACTCACTCCTTGCAGAACGCGGCCTGGAATGCAGCACGGGGCTAGGTCTCAGAGCGCTCACCCACCCACTCCTGATTTCTAGATACACACCAATTATGATTTTTCTTTGGCCATGACTTTATGTCCTGCATGGCTTCATGTCCAACAACATCCCAGAACCAAAAAGCAACATTTCAGGTGAACTGCGACATTTTTAAACACTCAGTTTTAGATCCATTAGTTTTCTAAAACTAACAGGACAACAGTCCAGTTTTAAAAACACTGTGTCCACAGTAGCAGTATTAAAGAAGCCATAGATGGGCCCATTACAGAAAACCTGTCAAATGAACGACACAGACATCAGTGTAGATGTGAGCCTCACAGAGAAGAAAAGCCAAAAAGACCCATGGAAGCTATGGTCAACAGAGATAAAAACAAAGCAGAAGCCCCAAGGCAGAGGTCTGGGCAAAAAATCCTTTGACAGGCATCACTCTGACTTCCACTTTTATAGCTGAACATTCTTACTTTTAAAAGAGGACACTAAATAACAGCACTGGTTTACAGAACCTGGTTTTCTCAATCAAGCACCGGGGCTCAGCAATGACTTCCAGCCAGCATTGGCAAAGCAGATGTTTATCGGCCACCCTTCATCCAGCTAAGCCTAGTACTGTAGGTGGGACACAGCCTATGCGGCCCAAATGCCCAGCACCTGCCCGTAGGTGGCTCACAAGGGTCTGGTTCACCACCAAGGCTGCGCCTAACACAACGCCGGACAAAGAGTGGAGCTGAAGAGTCCACAACGTGGTCTGACACAACCACATGCAAAAAACCACATGTCACATGGCTGTGTCAGCAAACCTAGATGGAAACCTACCTGCCCAGTAAGAATGTAATTACAGGACAGACACCACAGCTAAGTTTCCTAGGAAACGGCATCACACACAGTCCCTTCTCACCAGCCTTCTGAAATAAAACACTACCAAAATTTTGGATGGTCTTAGATCCAAAAAACACTCAGAAACCAGTCTTTACCAGGCCAGCGTTAAGACAGCAAAGCAGAAATAAGTGCATATTAGATTCAGGCCTAAAGGAACCCAAAGGTGTGAACGAGGGCTGACCACAGAGCACAGGCAGTCCACCACTGCCCAGGAAGTGTCACTGGGGGCCGAGAGATAGCGGGGGGTCCTGCCTTAGGAAATGCATGTGTGTTTCAGTACTTATGCTTCAACTTCATACACACACATGCAGGAAATCCCGTAGCATTTTATTCTGGAGACACAGTATGAAATTTCTCATTACTTTCTTTAAGAAGAATATAATGGTAAAGGTAACATTTCAGTGAAAACATAAAAGGAGAAATATTTTACATCAAAACATTATGGCAACTGTTATTTCAGAACATTTCAGACAATCTATCCAATCCCTCAGAACAAAACAAGGTGGTAAGACCTCACACCCACTATGGCCACTATCAAAAACCCAGAAAGCAACAACTACAGGTAGATGTGGAAAACTGGAGACCCCGTGCACGGCTGGTGGGAATGCAGACTGGACCAGGCTTTGGAAGACAGTACGAGTGAACACACAGTCACCACACCAGCAGGCGATCCCCCATGTGGGCGTGCACCTGAAGAACTGAGAACAGTCAGGGAGCCACCTGTCCAGCTGTGGTCATGTAGGCAGTTACTGCGGCAGCGTAAGCGAGGAGGCAACCAAGTGTCTGCCGATGGATGAACAGGTGAGCAAAACATGGTCTACACACACAATGGGGTATTTTAAGCCCTGAAAAGGAAGGGAATTCTGACACTGCACCAATACAGGTGAACCTTCAGGACAGCATGCTGAGTGAAAGGAGGCAGTCACAGACACACACAGGGTGGTTCTGCTCCGAGGAGGTAACTGGAGTGAGTAGTCAAACTCAGAGACCGGACATACGATGGTGGGGAGGGGAGAGGGGGCCCAGAATTTCAGTGTCCTAAGATAAGAAGCTCTGGACTGGCTATATAACACTGTGAATCTACTTAATATTATTCAACTATTTAAAAATAGTTAAAGTGCAAAATTTTAAGTTAGATATCTCAATCACAACTGATATTTTTTTAAAACCAGTGAGATAAGGATCTGACAATCTTTCAAACTTATGAGAAAATGGGCAAACCTCATAATTTATGAAATACAAGAAATCCATTTTTAATGTGTTATTAGGGATTTCTCATTTCAGGGTTTATAGGCTAATCACATAAGCAAATGTCCACAAAAAAGTCTACAAGAATACTATAGAAACGTAGTTTTTGCAAAGTACACACTCTTAAAAGACCTGTCATGCATGTGTACCTTCACTTTTTTCCAGTAAGGATGCTATGACAGCTTCATCTTCAATGGGGTTGAGTGAACACGTTGAGTACACCATCCTGCCGCCTTCTACCAGCTGCTCCGCGCCTCGCGTTGCGATCCGCAGCTGCAAGCTAAGGCCGGACGGCAGGTTACCCCAAGACTGAACACAGCAGACAGCACACCCCTTATAGCACATATTTGTTATACGTTTATAACAAACTTATGATAAAACACAAAATATGCTAGGTAAAATGAACAATTCCCATAAAAAAAAAAAAACTGTAAGGTTCTGAATGAAGAGTAAACCTGTATTACATAAGGAGTTTCATGTTAATGAAAAAAGTACCTATTTACATAAATAATGTTTTTACTATTCTGTTAACCTTTCCCAAGATGACAACAAGCAAATCATAAAGCTGATTAATAACTGAATATATTAGGTGAATTTAATTATTAAAAAGCCTCCATATTTATATAAGTATTTTACTTTTCTTTCTGTGAACATTTCTGTAACCCTTAGGACATTCTAATCATAATGACTTTCACACAAAAAATAAGCATTTAGCAGAGAAAACAAAATCTGATAGCTATTTACAAGGAAAACTCATTTGTACACCTTACAACATCCACTGTAATACATGTAAGACTGTATCATTTTAATATTAAACAAAACAAGACTACAAAGTTCTGTAGACAGTACAAACTGTTCAAAGTAGGTATGTTAAAAATGCCTAGCAAAGAAAAATACTCTAACACACTAGACATTACAAAAATTATCTTTGAGTTTTGAGATTTTCTTTTTCCTTTTAAAGATTTTTCATGTTTTCTTTAAAGACAATCAAAATACATTTCTAAGACATCAAAATGTTAAGCAAAGTAATTCAAAACAAAAGAACAGAAAACTGATTAGTAATTAAATGGTCATTTCATGGAAAATATGTTTGAAATGCTGAATAAAATTGTTATAAGTCATTTTTAATAAATATGTACCTGAAATGTACACAATCTTCAGTTTACTACTCCTAAAAGGTTTTAAAAGTAATTGCTTCTGATATATAAGTAACCCCTCTTAAAGGTAGCCATTAACACTCTGATGCTTACAGTCAGTCAATTAAAGATCTGGATGTCAGTTAACTGATTCAATAATAAATCTTTACTGATCTATCTGCTAAACAGTGCTACTAAAGTTTTACTTACCCATGCAGCTGCAAGCTATTTAAGGTGGTCCACTTTTTCCAAACATCAATGTTTTTTCTCATAGTACCATCTCCACTGGAAAGAAAGATACTTAAGAACTGAAAGGTACATAGAGATCAACAAATACATCACAATCAAGCTAAGATACAAAACAGGTACTATTATTATAAATACCAATTAGAAAACCACCTTAATTCTTACCAGCTACAATCAACTATCTATTTCAGTTTTTAGGACACATTTAAACTTTGAAATAATACTTCAATTTTCAATTCAATAAATATAACTGATTTGAAAATGAAACCTCATCAACTTAGATAGCAATTTACTTCCATTAGTGAGAAATAGTAAGAAAAATTTTCAGACCCAGGACACACAACCATGAACAAATGTAGGACATTTTCATCCTGCTTCTTAGGAACTTAAAAGTGGCATTTTAATCAGAATTACATGAATAATGGTAAACTTACACTCACACAGGATTTTCCACAGCAAATTCAATTAAGCCAATTTAATTTCTTTATGATTTTTCTATGTATCACATTTATCTACTTTAACTTAATGGAAATTATTTTCATGAAACTTTTATAATACAGTCTCAATCAATCAATCTTTCTGTCGATATCTAACTTTATGTACCCATTTTGTCCGGGCAGTTACTGCATCTGCTGGCCTTCCTTGTAAAATTTCATTTTCCCTGGGGTCATGTCTTGAGGTGAAGGGACTGCAGGATGGAAATGTCCTGAGAGAATGGCTTTCAAACGACACTCCTCACTTGTGTATGGTGGCTTAAAACCCTAGCACACTTTTAGGAATTTCCTCAACTTACATGCAACCCAGTGCTTGTAAGGCTACTTCATTCTCACAACGTGACACCCAGAATGGGTTATGGTTGTGATCAAAAGAACACAGGGGTGGGAGAACATCTGATCCAAAGGAAAATTAGAAAATTACAATTTGGACAAAAAGGCATGTAGTTCATGACCCATTTTAAATATTACTTTAAGGGGTATTCTTTCAGGTATTTGAAAGCTCAGTCACATGCAGGAGTGGCAGTTACAATTTCAAACTGAGTTTGGCCACCAGCAGTCAATCTGCTACTTGTTTGATGTATAAATACCGTATCCAGTGCTAATAAAGTTTTGTGGCAGTTTTTGTACTTTAGTCTCAACAAAGTCATGTGTTCAGAAGGTAACAAACACTTCGATCATCACCTATGTCACTTCCACTAAGAACTTAAAAACACTTTTAGTTTTATTCTTTTCCTCTTGGAAAAACTCATGTTATGTACTTACACCATGAAATTCTTTCATAGGAAAACTCTAAAACTCTAAAATTTACATGTAAAATTTGAAGAAGGTGTATGCACAAATATAAAATGAGTTTCTCAAATGTTTGAGTTTCTAAATTTCATTGTGCTAAATGTAAGACCACAGAAGTCCAATGAGATCAAACTTTCATCTGTAACAAAGTATCTTACACACATGCCAGACACTATGGATATAAATATTCGGGATGAGCAAACCACTCCAAGCAATAATATCCTGGAACGACCCACAATGCGAGCTTATGATGCTATTTCCTTCCAGGTATTTTCTTCATACCTCTTTGTAAGACAATATATAAAACCCTCCCTTCCCATATCTGTTCTGCCCATCAGCTGTGCTGCTTATCACCGAAATTCAGAGTGTCCATTTCCGATTGAGGCTTACAATGTCTGTCTTCATGAACTGCCACAAGAACAGTATATACAATTATGTATGTTCATGCGCAAGTTCATTTTAGTCTTTGATTTGATTTCTTTAATGGATTTTGGGCTTTCTAGCCTCTTAATATAAATACCTGCAAGGGACATCACATAAAATGCGATCATAGAAGAGAATCTCTTTCCTTCCATTCACATCTATTTGGAGCCTAGGTATGCTGGATGCATCATGGTTGACCACCATGATACAAGGGCTGCTCAACCTTTTGGCCTGGTGAACGAGCAGGTAGCAACGTTTGTTGTCCACGTCATTCGCAATGACAAATCCCTCTGCGAACAAAAACTGGAGTGTCAGGGGAAATGGTGCACAAGCAGAATAACCTCCTGAAATATGTAACCTCTAGGCTGGCGAGTGAGGTAGCACTCCACCAAAGTCAAGAACCGAGCTTAAGGTTTGCCAGAAACATGTGAGGGATTCAAATAGGAACCAGATGGCTCAGCGTGGGTTTTGTTTTATTTTATTTAAAACCTTAAGATTCATTTGTCCACTTTTTAAAAAATTTATTTATTTTATTTATTTTATTCAAAACCTTAAGATTCACTTGTCCACTTTTCATTTTGTCCCAATTATTGTGCCAAAAATATCTTTCCTATCATTAATAACATTGAAAGAGAAGATGAGAATAGAACACAAGTTTGTAAAACAACAGAATCACCTGACAAATGTCTGAAACCCTGCACGTGAGCTGGGACTCTGTTCTAGACTCTGAGCCAGACCCCTGGGCACCTGACGCTGAGTATCCCTGGGAGACTGACTGCACCCCTGGCTAAGAACCACTGTGGCCCCTGGGCCGCCTCTCCTAACTGCTTCCTCTCACCTCCAGCAGAAGGGCAAAAATGCTGCCTTTCAAATAGGCAGCAAGTGACCAAAAGAGAGGAAACAAAACAATGTGAAAGTATTCCTATGGAAATTCAAACTGAGATCGTCCTACTATGGCTTAAGACAGAAACACCATTTGCTTGTCAAGTCACTCCCCAATCACAAATGTATGAATGTGTTGATGTGATAACTGGTGACAGTGGTGTGCAAAATGTTCAGTCCCACTTTCAGAGAGAAAACCCATCTGCTTGTCACAGGCGGCTTCCAGACCCAGTCAGCAGGCAATAGCACAGACCACCCCCACCATGACCCACCAAGCAGCATTCCTACCCTCTAAAAATATGGTTCAATGCGCACCTGGAAAAGGGACATTCATGTCAGCATGCAGCATTTCAATCAACTGTGTGGTCTTTGACCCAGGTGCTGCACACATATCTAGGATCTAACAAAAAGCAAGAAAATGCTTGAGTTTTTTTTAAGAAATCAAACATTCTACATTTAACTAAAAATAATTTTGAGTTTTTCTAGTATGCTGATTCCTATCTGAGGCCTAGACTATAATATATTTAACTTACAGGGACCTTATAAAAATACAATGCCCCTTAATCACAGAATGGTAATTCCCTTCACAGGGGATGGGAACAGAATGGCAGCAGAAACCAGTGAAAGCAATAACTCTTGGGATGAACTAGTAAACATACTTAGTGCATGACAATCATAACATCCTGCTAAGGGAAAAGGCTGCATGGGCTCAAACCTCAGCTTAGCCACTTATCAGTTCCATAATCTTGAGCTAGTTGATTTCCACTTTTCTTTGCCTCTTTTTCCTCATCTGGAAAAATGGGGACACTGGCAGTATCTAACCTCACAGGGAAATGTGGATAACAAAATGAGTTAATTCACAAAAAGAGCACAGAACAATGCTTGGCATATAACAAGCTACCAATACATGTTCATTATGATTTTCAATCTGACACAGTCTATCAAGACCACTGAATATAGTCAGTGTAGTAAATTAATAAACTTTAAAAGAGAAGAAAATAGTTATGAGTTGTAAAATTTAAATAGGGCAGAATGAAAAAGACAATCAAAACTAAAATACGTATCATTATCGGAAGTGAAAAGGGGAAAAAAAACTAGATTAGTTACATTAAAATAAAGGTCTCAACAAAGAGGCACAAACACTGAGAGCAGCCTGCCCACCACGACTTCCTACTTCATGGGGACGGGGGACACAGTGCCCGTGACGGGGATGCACTGACTTAGGGCGGGCGTGTGCGTTCAGCCCTACCTACCGCGACCACCTGCTTTATACGCAGTACCTTGTGATGGGGGTGTGCATTCAGTAACAGTGGTGGAATCATGCTAACAGCTTCTTGTCGACTGATATTTCCCTGAGGAAATAAAAAAATTTTTTAAATCAACAATATTTAAAAAGGCAGAAAATTTCAACATTGGACTTTATTTCCAATGCAACAAAAGTAGACCATATAGTCATCATACATACGAGAGCACAACCACAGGACAAGTTTTTACACCAGTGGATAAACAGTTGGTCTCTAAAGACTAAGTAAGAATGACCATCAATCGCACACTTACTGTTAGAATATTAGAAATGCAGGTACAATACCACATTTTACAAAACAAAGGAGATTTTATGCACACAGTCCCAGCTCCTCATCTTAACAAAATATGAAGTTAGATGAGCATTTCTCAAAGGCAGACAATGGTACTGCAATCCTTTCAGCAACAGGGAGCAAACAACAGGAGCACAGGACGGAAAGTCACCGTCAGAAGCTTTCCAGCCAGCTAGCCTGCCAATTCCACTTCCTAGCCCTCCTCTGCACTTAGGAGCAGCCCAAGTCTGCTTTTTCTTCCTGGGACTGCCTCTGAAACAAGAGGAAGACATAGCCACTGCTCCTATCTTTCATTCTCTACAGTAAATACTCAAATTCTTAAGCCAACCATCCTCTAGACCTTTGTTAGGGGGGTCAGGGCAGCTGTTAAATATATGACTGTTCATATTCAAATAAATTCCCTCAATGGAGTCCAGAACTTGCCTCAATCTCAATTCCATTTTAATAGCCTTGGAACTGAATGCTCTAAAACAACAGTAGTATTTTTAAAACCTATAGAACATCGGCTACCTGGAGACTTCTGCTCCATTACAATCTGGGTTTTTATACTTGATCAGCCATCCCAGCAGCCAACAGCTCGCCATATCCTTATGCATCTGACTCCCAGAAACTAAGCACAGACTAACATTCACACCTGGTAATTTTCATCTTGTGGGTTTCTGGCCAGCAATGACTCTGTGAAGACTATTCACCTCTTGATTTAATCACCAGGCACACAGATTCCAAGCCTGTGCTTACACCTATAATCTGATAAAACTTCCTTTCTGTTTTCATTTGTTTTCAATTAAAGGATCAATGTTGGACGAAGACATTTTGAGTCACTAGAGCTGTTAGTCACTAGATTCATAAACTTGCTTGGAAGAGGTTTTGCAACCAGCTTTAAATAACCCAGAGTATCACATCCTGCTGACTCCCATCAAACACCAGGACCACCTCCCTTCCATATACACTACCTATACTGAAGTCCCATCTCATCTGCCTTTCAAAGCCACCAAAGCCAGGTGTCTCACTGCCTGCCCAAATGCGTATCATTCCACTCCCCACTAATCCCTGCTCTGTTCAAGTTCAAGCCTCAGTTGTTGTCTTGGTTTGCTGACCTTCCGTCCAGACTCAAAGCTGGCCAGAGAATCCCTTCTTGTACTGGCCCAAGCACAGAACAGGGCAGTGGCAGTGCTCCATTCTGTTCACTCCTTACTACTGGGGCAGGGAGGCAGAAAGCCAGGCAAACATGAGTCCAGTTTGCCTAAGCGGACAGAAAGCCATTAAGGGCAGGAACAGCTGTGGTCAAGCAGCGGGGAGAAGTGGGTGAGGGCAGGGTTTCTAAATCGGTTCAGCTTCAAGGAAAGAACCATGGGACGCATGGTGATCCTGTTAAGTGGGTGCAGAAACTCAGAATGAAAAGGAAGTGAGCACCACCTGGTGACACACAGAGGCAGCTTGGCTAAAAAATGTAATTAGAACACAGGAAGGGGGAACTTCTGATTTTAAATATGCGACTATTAACAACTCCCAAAGAATAAGAATGAAACAGCAAAGCTTACAATATTCTAACTTTCTTCTTCTAGTTGAAACTCAGTAAAATTTATCTAATTGAAAACACCGCTTTTTATGTGGTAATATTGAAGTGTTAAATATAATAAAAGACTCTTAGGATAAGCAATCATAGTGAAGGCTAGAGCTTTCTGTGAAGATTGAATAAAATATAAAGAGCTGTTCAGAGTAATAGTAGTGGAAGAGAAAGATGAGAATGAGGCAAGTGGAAAACTTCCTGTCCAGCCATCTGTGGCAGGGTTTGGCAGACTTTCTGGGAAGGTAGTGTTTCTGGC